ACCAGGTACCTTGGCAAGAACAGAACAACAAATCCACACACCCCCAGCACTGGTGACAGTGAGCTGGGCAGAGAAGTGGAAAATGGAAATGGACAGGCAGCATAGCCTGTTTCTCTTATGCCAACAAGTTGATTGATGTGAAAAGAGCTGGATAGGGCCTTGACCCAACCCAGCAAGGCTCTTCTAAAGCAAATTTAGTCTTATATATGCCCTCGCTGTAAGGTCATTTTTGCCAGATACTTACCTAGATTATGGTTGTGTTCCTCCATTCTAGCAGCAGTGCCCTTCCGCAAAAAAGAGACAGCTGTAGCCTTAAGCAGTCTCAACAAGGCTGCTTCCTGGACTTCCTGTGTTTGTAACACTTTTTCAACAAATTCTGAAGAAATGAAACAATTGGGCATGTACATGCTTGCAGAAGCGACCCAGGAAATCCTTCAGATTGAAGCAATTGTGCCAAGCTTTCAGGAGAGGTAACTGCTTCTATTTTGAAGCACCCTAGGAACGTTTTGCTGAACCCTATTCTTTATTCCATTTAGAGCAGTGATTTTGGTGAATTTGTTTTAATAAAACATTTGCACAAAAGTCCATGCACATTTTCATGTATATTTCTCCTGATGCACACTTTATGAATAAAATATAACGCTTACATTTTGAAATCAATTTTCTATGACATCAATGTACGTATATGCACAAATACAAATGTATGTATACACACACGTGTGTGCATGTAGTGGATCAATCCAAGCTTATAATTAAAATAATTTACAATTACTGTACATTATGATTATGATTATGATTAATTAGTATTATAATTGTATAATTATTAAAATTATTATCAGGATGAAGGATCTTCATTGTGGGTTATGGACCATAATCTACTATGCTATTCCAGTGTAGCTTGGAAAATATATGTTTTTCAAATTCTCATTCTAGGACTGAAAGAGAGTGACTGGCCTAAATTCACCTAGTTTTTGTGCATAGATGTATACACACACAAAAAATAAATCTATTGTTGAATGTATTTTGTATTGCAGTGGCTCAACACAGCATTTATAAATGTGAATCTTCTGAAGCATTTTAGATGTTTGGATTATGCTGTGGTCATGAAAGAGCATATTTGCAAGCTTGCATTGAAATGTGAACCAGATGAATCCCCTCCCACCTCTTTAAGAGAGAGTTCTTGTCATAACATGGACTTCAAAGCTTCAAATTCTGTATGTATTTACAGAATACAGAATAACAGAGTTGGAAGGGACCTTGGAGATATTCTAGGAGGTAATCAACCCCCTATACCATTCTAGACAAATGGCTGTTTCCAATCTTTTCTTAAAAACCTCCAGTGTTGGAGCATCCATGACTTCTGGAAGCAAGCTGTTCCACTGATTGATTATTCTCACTGTCAGAGAATTTCTCCTTAGTTCTAATTTGGTTCTCTCTTTGATAAGTTTACATCTTGTCTTCCTCTCAGGTGCTTTGGAAAATATGTTGCCCTCCTGTTCTTTGTGACAGCTTCTCAAAAATTGGAACTCTGCTATCATGTCACCCCCTACTCCTTTTCTTCATTAGACTAGACATACCCAGTTCCTGTAGCCGTTCATCATGTTTTAGCCTCCAGTCCCCTAATCGTCTTAGTTGTTCTTCTCTGCATTCTTTCCAAAGTCTCAACATCTTCTACATATTGTGGTGACCAGAACTGGTTGCAGTATTCCAAGTGTAGTCTTATCAAGGCAGTATATACCAGTACTAATACTTCATGTGATCTGGATACTATTCCTCTGTTGATGCAGCCTAGGACTACATTCCCTTTTTTGGCAGCTGCAGTCCACTGCTGGCTCATACGTATGTGGTTGTCCACTAGTATACCTAGATTCTTCTCATAGTGACTACTGTTGAGCCAAGTACCACCTATTCTATACCTGTGCATTTGTTTTTTCTGCCTAAGTGTAAAACCTTATTTTTTTCACCACATTGCAAAATTGCATTTTGTTAGATAGGGCCCAGTGTTCAAGTCTGTCAAGAATTTTTTGGATCTTAAGCCTAACTTCTAAAACAGGGTTTTTCAACTGGTGGTATGCGTACCACCGGTGGTACATTGGCACCTGGCAAGGTGGTACATGGCCCTGCCTAGCCTAGACAAGAGTAGCAGGGGAGAGAACGAGCTAAAGCAGCGCAGTGCAGGACTTGCTGTGAGAGAGTCCTCAGGAGCTGCAGGGCTTTTGGGCCGAGACAAAGGCCCCAGGATCAGCTCACCCGGAAAAGAAAGGAGGAGGAGGGGGGCCGGAGACAGGAGAGGCTATAAAAGGAGGCAGTTTTGGCCAGAGAGGGAGAGAGGAAAAAAGACTCCAGAGAAAGACATAAGAGAAAAGGCTTTTGTCAGAGAAGTGGTGAGAAGAAAGAGAGAGGTGGGGAAATGCTTTCTGGAAGAAGTGTGTGAGAGAGATGGAGGAAAGGCTTTCTGGGAGAAGTGTGTGAGAGAGAGCGAGGGGCTTTTGCAAGCGAAGGGTGAAAGAAAAAAGGAAAAAAGTGAAGAGGAGAAGGGAAAAAGAAAAGGCAATAGAAGGAAGCATTAACATTGAACCTCAACTTTTTACTTTTCCATAATATTATAAACTAGCCATTTCTATAACAACAAATGAATCTAACAGTAAAACCCAAAATCCCCCCCCCTTTTTTTTAGTCATCAGGTTTTTGACACCTTGCTAAGCACTGGTGGTACTCGAATATTGTCATGTCCTAAAAGTGGTACAATCTCTGAAAAGGTTGAAAAGCCCTGTTCTAAAGTGTTGGCTATACCTTTTAACTTGGTGTCATATGCAGATTTGATGAGTTCCCCTTCTATCTCCCCATCTAAATCATTTATAAAGATGTCAAAGAGTCCTAGCCTAAAACAGAACCTTGCGGTATCCCATTTCATGCTTCCCTCCATGTAGATGTAGTTCCATTGAAGACTACACATTGAGTGCTGACTGGTGGTGATTACTAAGAAGTAGGTTGTGGTCAAATGCCTTACTGAAATCCAAGTATACTATGTCCACAACATTTTGGTGGTCCACTAATTTAGTCACTTTGTCAAAGAATGCAATAAAATTTGTTTGGCATGATCTGATTTGACAAACTCATGTTGGTTTCTAATAATAGCTTTGCTTGCTTCTTTACTTGATTATATTTCCCAGGATCTTCCCAGGTATTGCTGTCAGGCTTACTGGTCTGAAATTTCCTGGATCCATTTTTTTCCCTTTCTGAAGAGAGAAACCACATCACCTCTTTTCTAGTCCACTAATAGTTCTCTGGTGCTATTTGAAAGATATGGTCAGTAGTTCTGAGCTACTTCAGAACTCTGGAATGTGATCCATCTGGTCCTGATAACTGATGAAAGATTTCCATCTTTCCACAGGTTCCCAGGATAACCTACAAACATAGTAACACTGCAATAAAACAATATATATATATATATATATTGCTTTTTTTTGCTTTGTTTTATATTTTGATTTGTTATTGGAATGTATGTATTGTTTGGGGCTTTCAAGAAAAAATAATGTTGAAAGATAGCAACACTCTGCCCCTGGTGGAGAGGACAGCAACTGCTGCCCAGATATGAATTTTGAGGAACATGTTTATATCCAGTTTTAAATCCTAGCCCTGGAGAAGCAATCAAAGATCTCCATTGTACAAAATAATGGTGAAAGGAAAATACCAGGCACTAGGATTTGATTAATCCCTTTCTCTTATTTTATGCTGATGAAATGATCTCTAATTCTCTCCCTCTCCCTCTCCCTCTCTTTCCCTGCCTCGCTTTCTCTCTGTGTGCCTTCCAGTCATGGTCTCCCAATTCCAGTTCCTAGCCTGATTTCTTCACCTTTACATTAAACTGTCTGTCTCTCTCCCTTCCACTTCTCTTAGTATTGACTAATATAGAATAGCTTGATTTAACCTAAGAATCTTATCAAAGAGCATTATAATGAGCATTTAGTGCCATCCCCATTTAGCAGACTTCAGATGCAACTGATCAAATTTTTGCTTGGACATCCATCTACCATCCTGTAGTGAAGACATACTGGGCAGGGACTTCCGGTGGCTCGGCGGCTGCCGAAGGGGGTTGTTTTGACAGCCTCCCGTTCAGGACTGCGTAAAAAGCGCCGAAACAGCGTTTATCAGCTGTTCGGCGCTTTGAAACTTCTCTCTGGGCAAAGGAGAGAAGGAGAGCTTGCTCGTGAGTAGGAGTCGAGTTCCCTAGCCTCCCTGGGTGTTCCCAGCAAGGTGAAGGTGAGAACTCCTCCGGAGCTCAGAGCTTCTCCGCAGATCGGGACGCCTTTGCTGCAAGCGAAGCCAGACGCCGTCTCCACTTCTGATTTTTTTTCGAATTAAACTGTGAGTATTTTTCACAGATGGAGCTAACTAGGAAGTTTGGATTTTTTATAAAGAACTTAAAACTTTGACTCAGATTTTCAAGCATTCTTCTCAAGGATTGAAATCGAAAGTTATTTTTTGGAGAAAAAAAAATGGCTGCGGCTTGCCGCTTCTTTGTGTTAAAGAGATACTTTTACTTTCTTTCCGGTTGTGGATGGCTACATTGTTAAAACTGTAAAAAATCTTTAAAAATTAAGGAAAAATCTCCAAAAAATCAAGAAAAATTAAAGGAAAATTTGTTTGACTTTTAACTGTTTGGGACTGTATATTAAAACTTTTTTTAAGCTTCAGAATGGCTTCTAAACATGGCGTAGCCCCTCCAGCACTTAAGTCAGCTGTTTCCTCTCCAGCTGTACAGGCCACGCAACAGAGAGCTAAAACTCCCCCACCCTCTTCACCACCTTATGTTACTTTAAAGGATTTACAGGATTCTTTGATGCAGATGCAGATGTCCAAACAGATTGTACAGCAAGTAAAAGTGGAGACAGAAGAGTTGCTTGCTAAAAAGAATGATGAACTATGTGAGAATATGTCTCAAATCTTTCAGGGCTTTGCTTTTCATATGGATCGTTTAGAGAACCGGGTGGAGGAAATAGGAGAAAAAATGGAAGGGGTGTAGGAGAGAATGGAAAAAGTAGAAGAAACTATAGAGATTGTTCAAAGTGATGTTGTATTGGCACAATTTAGAGAAATGGAACATGCAATAAGAATCAGAGGCCTTCAGGAAAACATACAGGAGAAACTGAGAGAAGAGGTAACAGCTGCCCTGGCTTTGGCCTTAGACTGCGACCCTGAAATTATCTATGGAGAAATCAAAAAAATATTTAGAGTCAATTCATGGGTCGCACGTCAGAGAAAACAGCCTAGAGATGTTGTTGTTTATTTCTCCAGAAAAACACGTAGAAATGAAATTATACAGGCCTTTTACCAGCAGAAGTTTCAGA